TGTGTCCGTTACTAACCTGTAAAGGTGGCGCCTGGCTGCAGGTACATCGAAGACGAAGCTGGAGCTATGGTGCCGCAGGTGAGTCTCCCTGGCCTCCGCCAACCATCTCTCTCTCTCTCTACTAGCGCCCAGCGCTGAAGACTACTGCTACCGCTACTACTCCTGCAGAGTGCCGCTGCCAAGTCCTGAAGACTACCTCCTGCCCTCTGCACGTGAAGTGCCTAGGAACTGCCTGCAGCCTACAGGGCGGGTCAGCATCATATAGTGCTGGCCCGTCCGAGAGGCTGCTCGTGCCTATGCCAAAACGTGCCAGACCCTTGGGTTGACGCTCCACAAAATAGGCCTTAAAGGCCTGAGCTAAAACCCCGGTCTGGGGCCTGAGTTTCAGGGTAGGTCGATCTTGCGAGGGCCTGAAAATGGCCCGTCGTTTTCAGGCTGGAGGCCGAAACGACACAGGGTCTGAAACAGGCCCTACCCTTACGGACCCTTAGTCTACCAGGTCGGGCTCTGCTGGGCCCGTGTGGTACGGAGTATGCCACATCCTGCCTCCTGAACTGCACGTGAAGTGCCTGGGAAGTCCCTATGAACTACCTGCAGCCTGCAGGGCGGGCCAGTCTTATATAGTGCTGGCTTATCCAGGAGGCTGCTCTTGCCAATGCCAAAACGTGCCAGCCCTGGCGTTGAAGTTCAAGCAAAGGTTGTCTTGCAAACAGGCCCAAAATGGCCTGTGCTAAAACCCTGGTCTGGTGCCTAAGTTTTAGGGCAGGTCGATCTTATGAGGGCCTGAAAATGGCCCTCCGTTTCAGGATGAAAAGACTCAGGTCCTGGAGGGCCCTGTTTTAGGCTGAAACGACACAGGGCCTGTAGGCCCTTGTTATCAGGCTTTCAGGCTGAAATGACACAGGGCCTGTAGGCCCTTGTTTTCAGGCTTTCAGGCTGAAACGACACAGGCCTGAAAATGGCCCTCATGTGCAGGCGCAGCATGTAACAGTAACCGTTGCACCAGTTCGCCACAGGGCTGATTCCTGCCAGCGAAAACCTCCAGCCCATCCCCCCCTGCAACCCCCCAGTCAATGATGAGCTATGAGTTATGTGTTATGTGTTATGTGTATTGGAGTTGAACCCGGGACCTCCAAGTTACGATATCAGAGCTCTACCCACTGAGTTATTGAGGTTATTAGTCTGTAAAGGTGCTATGCCAGGCTCGGGGCAAGTACGTGGGGTGCAATCTACACCAACCAATTGTGCTCTAGGGAAATTGCGGGCTGACAAAGTCGAACCCACAACCTCCCCCTTGCAACACCAGAGCTCTGTCCACTGAGCTACCACACACTTGCTTTTACCAACTGGCGGTCTCGAAGGTAAGACGCCAAGCATGCCACAGGCACTATCATGGGGGCAATGGGAGTTGAACCCACGACCTCCTGAGTGCCGCTTGAACGCCATTGTACCACTTCAGTGCTACATCAATCATCAAATTTGAAAAAACGCTCTCCTTTCCTTTACATGTGGGAGACTGCTTGTGTGGTCATCAGTGGTTTATTGACTTCAGAAAAAGAAGGAGAAGGGGAAGAGTTGGCTATAAAAGAGAGGAGCTACGCACAAAAAAGTGAGGGGGTCCATTGGCTTGGCCTCTGTGGCTGTTGGCTCATTGACTGCCATGTGTTTCAATTCAGTTTGCTGTATTACATCCTTTCGGTAGTCTTCCCTGGGAGTCGTCATTTGTGTTGGCTGGTCAGTTTTGGTCTGCCTTGTAAAATTGTTGCCATTACAGAGAACAAATCATCTGCATGCACCCCAGGTTCTGCTCTAGGTTCTGAGTTCGGATTCGGTAGCCACAGTCTATACCCTCCAGCCTTCAACCCCTGGAACCTCACCTCTGTATTCACGGGCATCAATGAGCCAACAAAGTAAGCTACAAGCAAAGGCATGCAGACTCTTTGCAGAGCCTTTTTTTTCAAGTGACAAACTCATACAGAGTGTCTGAACTTTCTATATTATAGCATTGGAAGGGCACATCAATTGGGAAAGAAATTCAAAGAATGACAAATATCTCAAAGGGGCATCTTGTCTGTTTTTTCAAATCTGAGATGAAAGCGTAGGTGTTATATTTGGGGGAAGAAGGTAGTTGGCCAAGTGCTTTGAGAAATAACGAGGAGCCAATTACTCCCATCTCCTCTCTCCTGTTCGACCCTGTGGAATGACAATTGGGGGGATGCACACTGCTCCCATTGTGGAAGTTTACGGTCAAGGATTGCTGTAGAAGGTCCACAAGACCGTTGACACAGCCAAAATGATCAAGAGGTGATCGCAGAGAGACTCAGCCCTGCCCCCAGCCACCCTTCTCAACGTCCGATGGGCGCATTTTACGTACATAATGTCGACCTCCCAGAGGGCACTGCAATGGCAGATCATATACCTGTGCCTCCCGATCCCGGACTGGCTACATCCCCCCTCTGTAATTGTTGTGGGGGTTTCCTCGCAAAAGCAATGGGCAGATGTGGAACACTGCCTCCTGGACTGCCCCATGGTCAACCAGATTTGGCGGTGGTGGGACGCAGCGTGGAGATAACCTCACAGGCACAGAGCTCCACTGGAACCCTGGGACATTATTAATGGACTTACCAACGTCTGTGCAACAAACATGGTCCAAAGACTCCAAACTTCCAATCCACTCTCTTCAAATACACTCGCCTCAAAATCTTGATGACACCCTAGCGTACAATCCAGATGAACATACATCACGCATGGAAAAACCTCAAGGAATCTCTGCAAACCATGACCGATGAGCCTAAGAAAAGACAACGAATCACGATGTTTTAGCAGACATGGTTAGACCCCTCATGAAAGCTGGCAACTCTTGATGATAACCAAAACCTCCACTGGAAAGAGTGGTGGCAAGGCGAAGCCAGCCGAATGAGAAGGATCCTTCCACCCACCCGCAGATCCACCCGACTGAGCTGATCATACCCCACCCCTCCACACTCTCCCCACATGGAAACCAAGCGATCCCCATCTATCCCACTCCCCAGACCGAGGCAATGGCAGGGGCACACCTCCCCCCACTCCCATCCACTCACCAGGTGCCACAGCAACCCCCACTTCCACTTCAACCCCCACCTTCCCCTCTCATGCCACCCCCCTCTCCCCCTCCCCCACACCCTCCACACCCAAACACAGTCGAATCGGTTTGGAATCCCCGCCTGGCACGACTGAGACTGGCTGCTCCCCCACTGCCTATCGACGTACCCTCCTCCACACCCCCCCCATCTCCAGGTCCCAGCACACCCCCCTATACGCCCCCCTTACCCCAATCTCCACCACTGCCAACCCCAACATCCTCGTCACCCCCCTCATCTCCCCCACCTCTACCAACCTACCCGACACCAACACAGCCACACCCCCCACCTTTTCCCCTCCTCCCCCCCCACCCACCTTGAGCCACGGGGTCTCTGCGATCCCTCACTCCTCACATATGAATGCACCCCAGTGGTTGGACCCAGAGTGCTACCCGAATCCAAACTCCGGTGTTACATGCTGCGCCTGCACATGAGGGCCATTTTCCAGGCTCTGCGTCCTTCAGGCTAAAAGCCTGAATTTCGCCGAAAGCCTGAAATTTAGGGCCTACAGGCCCCGTGTCTGTTCAGCTCGAAAAGCTGGAAACAGGGGCCTACAGGCCCTGTGTCGTTTCAGACTAAAAATGGAATGAGCCTTTTTAGCCTGAAACTGAGGGCCATTTTTGGGCCCTCATCAGACCAACCTGCCCCAAAACTCAGGCACCAAACCAGGGTTTTAGGAACAGGCTATTTTTGGCCTGTTCCCACGACAGCTGCAGCGCCAGCCCCTGGCTCAGTTCGGCATTGGCAAGAGCAGCCTCCTGGACTGCCCGCCCTGCAACTGCAGGCAGTCGGAGGCAGTCCGGAGGCAGGCCGAGATAGTACATAGGGACTTCCCATGCACTTCACAGGCAGGCAGGAGGCAGTCAGTAGTCTCAGGATTCGGCAGCAGCACTCTGGAGGAGCGCTGCAGGAGTAGTGGTAGCGTTAGCATTAGTCTTCAGCGCTGGGCGCTAGTAGCGTAGCTGTAGTCTTCTGCGCTGGGGGCCATAGCTAGGATAGTACTAGAGAGAGAGAGATTGGGCGGAGGCCAGGGGTACTTACCTGCAGCGCCATTGCTCCAGCTTCGTTTTCGAGGTACCTGCAGCACAGGGCCAACTTCACATGTTAGTACCTGGCTCGTGAGAGAGAGAGAGTTCTTCTTCTTCCTCTTCTCAGTCCACCATCTCCCTCTCACCCTCTCATAAACTGACTTCACTGCATCAGCAGACTACGAGAAAAAGAGAGAGAGAGAGCTTGGTGACATTGGATCCAGACTCGACTTTTGGGCTTCATACATTTCGATGAGGGATTATTTGGGACTTGTGACAAAGACTTGGTGTTGACGACATTCCCATCTCTCCCCCTCTTCTTCGTCTGATCCCCTCCTCTTCGTCTGTGTATGTCTGGACCTGGCGCTTCCTTCCTCTGTATAGCGCCAGGCTCCTTCACACCTTGTGATGAGCATGATGTATGTTTGGTCTGCGTTGAAACGTTGATTGGGCTAGTCATTAGTATTCTAGCATTCTGCTTCGCTATCTTGTACCACGTGAAAGGGGGTCAGTCTCGGTCAGGTCAGGATTTGTATCTAAGTCTTCCCTGCGCTATTCAGCACCATTTTGTATGTATTGGAATGCACATTGCTTGTTGAGATTCTACTTGCACTGCATTGTCCATTCAGTCCTTTTTATCACATTCCGGATCCTCGGCTATTGTGTACATCGCCCGACTGTGCATGTAACAGTTGGTATCGGAACACCGCACATGAATCAGGACAACCTGACCTGACACGTGTGCGGGGACTAGGTAGCTGATTAGTCTTGTTTGATTGATTAGAGCACACTAGTTAGCCCCCGAAATCACGATTTTGGCATGATGTATGTTTGGTCTGCGTTGAAACGTTGATTGGGCTAGTCATTAGTATTCTAGCATTCTGCTTCGCTATCTTGTACTACGTGAAAGAAGGTCAGTCTTGGTCAGGTCAGGATTTGTATCTAAGTCTTCCCTGCGCTATTCAGCACCATTTTGTATGTATCGGAATGCACATTGCGTGTTGAGATTCTACTTGCACTGCATTGTCCATTCAGTCCTTTTTATCACATTGCGGATCCTCGGTTATTGTGTACATCGCCCGACTGGGCATGTAACAGTTGGTATCAGAACACCGCACGTGAATCAGGACAACCTGACCTGACACGTGTGCGGGGACTAGGTAGCTGATTAGTCTTGATTGGTTGATTAGAGCACACTAGTTAGCCCCCAAAATCACGATTTTGACCTCATTGCCGAAAATCGAATTTTTTTCCTTTTTTTGGATTTCGCTTTCTCGCTATTTCTGTTGTGGAAAATCGCAATAGCGCAACATCTGAAATTTCCGTTTTCGTTTTCCTTTTGAAAATCCGAAATTTCGTTGTTGGAAATCTGGAATATTTTTTTCTCGAAAATTTCGATTTCCTGTAACATTTCCCGTTGTTTTTTTTCCAAAAAATCGTTTTTCTAAAAACGGTACGGGAAATCCCTCTTGCATTACCATTTTCCAAACTACGAATACTCTCATCTGACTAAATCCGAATACTTGTTATTTCTTTTCGGAATTTTTTTTTTTTTTCGCAGTCTGATTAGTGGCTCCTTATCTGGGCATTATTTGGGCGATTATTCCACCCAACCCTCCCCACCTATGTTGTTGCCCCTTTTGATCTTACCTTCTCTATCTATCTCCAGGTATCCCCTGCGGCAACATTGGTGAGTTGCCACGTCAGCAGGCCACATCAGCAGACCACGTCAACGGACCACGTCAGCAGGACACGTCACAGGCCACGTCAGCAGCAGGGTATACCACGTCAGCAGACCCCCGGCCTGGTCTATGCTGTTGCGTTCACAAACAACCGTCATGGATCAGAGGTCGGGGGAAACAGACGAGGCCTATTAGGCCCAGATGCTGGCCTGGAGTTACCAAACTAAGAGACGGGCGGATGACGCAGCAACAGCAGCGAAGAAGAAGGCAGAGGACGCCGAGTAGGCACGTCTGCTGGCAATTGAACAACAGCGCCAGCACAACGAGGCAGCAGCAAAGGCTGCTGATGAAGAAGGAGTTCAACGGCGGGAAAAGATATTTAGCGGAGAGCAAACTTTGCTCACAATGGCATCGGATTGGCGGGCCGAGGCCGAGAATGGCAAGATGGAGGATAGCGAAAACAAAATCGCTCTACTCCTCTCCCATCTCACAGACCTCCTGGCAACATGCATTACACAGCAGGAGGACATCCACAGCCTCGACGACGTGCTAACTCAAGTCTGCGGCAGCCTCCGGCAGCTGGAGCAGCGACCTGTCGCCGCCCCCGATGCCAGCTCTTCCAACACCTCCGATCGCCTCCAAGCATTGGAGATGGACGTCGGCTCCCTCAAGGAGGACGTGCAGTTACAGCAGACCGCAACGTAACAGTTGGAGCAGCAGATCTGTACTACCGCCAACAACTCGAGTTCGGAACCGCGCAAGACAGCTCCAAAGTTTGACGGGCAGGAGATCTTCTGCGACTCGACGAAGACAGATCCCATTCCATGGTTCCGCAAGTTCGAGCTCACGCTGCAGCTACACTACGTCAAAGAACACAAGCACCACACGTACTTATACTCCCGGTCTGGGGGCGCGTGCCAGGCATGGTTAGACAACCTCTTGTCCAAGTACGGAGTGGTAGCTGCCGACTTGCATACCAAGATCAGTTGGGATGATCTGAAGGCGGCGTGGCACAAGCGGTTCCAAGTAGAGCCGTCGGAGATCAAAGCAATGGACAAGCTAATGGTCTTCTAACAAGGCATGCTGCCGAGTGTCGACTGGATTGCCGAGTACCAACACTTGATATCCATCCCAGACATCCAGATGGGCTTCAAAGCCATCCACCACTATTTCATCTCAAGGTCCTGTTCGACATTAAGCAATGCCCTGACTCACGTCGAGGACACCTTGACAACAACGGCGGAACTCTTTGACAAGGCCGCGCAGATTATCATCACGAACAAGAAGGCTAAGAACCTGCGTTCGTCTGCGCCAGGCCCGAGCAGAGCCCAGCATCGGCCAAGAGTGGCCGTGGTCGTGGCGGCAACGCCATTTGACCAAACTAGCGAGGTCGTGTCTGCCAATGAAGGGGACAGACTCGCAGCCGCCCGGGAAGGTGGCCGCCTCGGCAAAGGCCGAGGACGCGGCAAGACGAAGACAAACACCGCATCTAGCCTCGGGCCCGGCGCAACAGTTCCAGCCCTATGGTCCCAATGCGGTCTCTCTGAGCAAGCATTCAAAGTGCGCACGAGATTTCACTATTGCCTATGGTGCAACAGCGATCTCCATGAGACAGTGGCCTGCCCGTCGAAAGGCAAGGGCAAATCGGGAAACTGAGCACCGCCGGGAGTGACTCGGCGACACTCTCGACGCCTTCGGAACCGGTCACTTTGCGGGTGACCGCCCTTTGTTCCAAGGCACATGTGGAAGTCGATAGTCCTCTTCTCTATTCTTTTGAGGACTATGCTGCCCGGCTCGTTCCTACGCTGGGTACTCAAGCTCAAGGACAAGACGTGTGTGCGGCATCTTCTCCGTCCGGCAGCCGCGACTTATCGTCTTTAAGTGGTTCTTCACGGGATTCGGCGCGCGAGTTCAACATAGAGGTATTGGACCCGCTCACGTCCGAGGACTTTGCATGGCTTCCTCTCCCGACCACGGGCCGCCTGTCGGGGCCGCAATGTGCAGCACTATGCACTCATCTCCACACGTACTTATCCTTCTATGCACCACCAACTTCGCCGACGGATGACGAAGTCGCGATGGGGGACATCCTTGCGTATGTTACCAGGGTGGCCCGCGAGTTTCGCACGCAGCGGTACGATGACAACAACGCACCACTCATGTATGTCCGCATCCAGGTTGGGCAAGCGTTCTGCAGCGCTTTGCTGGATAGCGGCGCGTCTCGCAATTTCATGAGCCAAACCTTTATGCAAAGGTCTGGCCTTGGCGCACAAGTTCGGAGGAAGGCAAACCCGACGACGATCAAGTTGGCGGATGGAAAGACACAGCACCTCCTCGACCGTTACATCGAAGTCGTACCAGTGTATTTTGCACCTCATGCAAGCGAACCGGTGACGTTCGACATTTTGGACACGGACTTCGACATCATTCTGGGAATGCCTTGGCTTGCAAGTGCGGATCACACGGTCAACTTCCACCGGCGGACTCTTAGCGTTCGCGACGCTTTCGGCGTCGAAGTGCCATGTACTATTCCTCTTTCACACCCTTCGATTCGGTGCCAGGTGGTGACGGCCAAATCATTCTGGGCGACTTGCGCTTACGAGCAGCCCGAGGAAATCGACCTATGTTTCCTACGGACCATCGCGGTAGCCGACTCTTCACCCACAGACTTGTCTTCGGACTCCCGGGTGGTGCGGTTGCTGGACGAGTTCGCCGACATCTTCGAGTCACCTACCGGTGTGGTGCCGGATCAGCCGATCTCTCACGAGATCATTCTTGAGGCCGGTGTCGTGCCACCGAAAGGTTGCATCTATCTGATGAGCGAGGAGGAGTTTGAGGTCCTCCACGCACAACTCGATGATTTGTTGGCCAAGGGCTGGATCCGCCCTAGTAGCTCCCCAAATGGAGCACCAGTTCTCTTCGTCCGGAAGAAGAACAAGGATCTACGACAGTGTATCGACGACCGCATGCTCAACGTGCAAACCGTCAAGAATGCGGGGCCTCTTCCTCGCATTGACGATCTTCTTGAGCGATTGGGCGGCGTGAAGTATTTTTCTAAGTTGGATTTGAAGTCGGGATATCATCAAATCTCAATCCAACCGAACGATCGCTACAAATCCGCGTTCAAGACACGGTACGGGCATTTTGCGTGGGTGGTCATGCCTTTTGGCCTCACCAACGCCCCGACGACCTTTCAAGCGACAATGACTCATGAGTTCCATGCAATGCTGGACCGGTTCGTGTTGTTCTACTTAGACGATATTCTCGTCTGTAGCCGGACACTGGAGGATCATCTTGGGCATCTTCGATAAGTGTTGGAGATGCTCCGCCGCGCCAAGTACAAGACCAACCGCGACAAGTGCGAATTTGTTTGGCAAGAGCTGGAATACTTGGCCATTTTGGCACACCGGACGACATCAGTCCGCTATCGGACAAGATTCAAGTCATCCAAGAGTGGCTGGAGCCTCGGAACGTCATGGATGTCCGTTCGTTCCTTGGCCTCGCCGGCTACTATCAGCGTTTCATCAAAGGCTACTCGAAGATCGCGGCCAACTTGACCAAGCTTCAATGCGAGGATCGACCGTTTGACTTCGAAGAGGAGGCGCGGGAATCATTTTTGGCTCTCAAAGCCGCGCTATTATCTGCGGAGGTCTTGCGCATACACGACCCCCTTTTGCCTACGAGCGTCACTACGGATGCGTCTGGCTATGGCATTGGTGTCGTCCTCGAGCAACGTGATGGTGTGGACTAGCACCCGGTCGAGTATTTCAGCAAGAAAGTGCCCGTCGTGCATTCCATTGACGATGCGCGCAAGAAGGAGCTCCTCGCCTTCGTCCACGAGTTCAAGCGGTGGCGGCACTTCCTCCTTGGTCGAAGCCAATTCCAATGGGTAACGGACAGGAATCTGTTGGTCTTCAATAAGATCCAAGACACCGTCAACAGCACCATCGCTCGATGGATGGCTTTCATCGACCAGTTCGACTTCTTCCCCGATCACATTCCCGGGAAGTCGAACCGTTTTGCGGATGCTCTTTCACGGCATCTGGATCATTGCACCGCGGTCTACTCAACCTTCGAGATCGCGACAAGTACGCGAATCGCTCCTCTCGTAATCCGGCGCCTTCTCACTACCGGATCCAAGAGGGGTACTTGCTTGTCCACACACGGGGGAACGACCTTCTTTGCGTACCAAGTGATCCTCACTTGCGTACACGGCTTCTTGGCGAGTTCCACGATGCTCCCGCCATCGGACACTTCGGAGTCAATCACACGATTGGCCGACTTTGCGAGTGATTTTGGTGGCCCGGCCTTCTCGACGACATCACACGCTATTGCGAGTCATGCGAGGTTTGCCAACGCTGCAAATCCTACAACCATCGTCCATCCGGCGAGTTACGACCATTACCAGTCCCTTTGAGGCAAAGGGAAGCGATTGCCATGGACATCACTGACCCGTTCCCCAAGCACAAGACCGGCGTGAATGGGATTCTCACGGTGGTTGACCGACTCACCAAGTTCGCCATGTTTTTGCCTTGCCGCTATCACGCCAAGGCACCGGAGTTGGACGAGGTTCTTTACGCCGGTTGGATTCGAACCAAGGATTACCCCAAGGAAACTGTCTGCGACCGCGACACTCGATTCATGTCCGATTTCTGGTTGGCGCTCATCAAGCGATGGGGCTCATCTCTCAAGCCAAGTTCGGCTCGCCACCCCCAGACCGCACAGGTTATCCTTCGCACTCTCATCCGTCCTGACCAGAAGGATTGGGTTGAGCGGCTGCCGGATGTCGAGTTGGCCTACAACTACTCCATCCACCCGGCTATCGGGATGTTGCCTTTCGAGTTCGAGCACGGCTCGCCGGTCACTTCGTCGTTGGACACCATCACTCCATGAACGGCCGAGAGCGACGACCATCTTCTTTTCTTGCGTCGGATGCAAGAGCTCCTTGTCAAGGCACGCGACCAGATGGCCAAGACGCAGCAACGCATGAGCCAACAGGCCAATCGCCAGTGTCTTCCTTGCCCATTCCGCGTCGGCGATCTCGTTTGGCTTTCCGCCGCGGAATTCAGCCTTGAACAAGATATCTCTCGCAAGCTCCTCCCGAAATGGATGGGGCCTTGGCCGATCGTGGCACCTGCTGGGGATGCACCCGAAGGACCCACCTTCACCATTCAGGTGCCCGCCCACTTGCCCGTCTACTCGGTCTTTCATTGCTCCAAGTTGGCTTTTTACACGCCAGCGGAACATGACGATTTTCCCGGGCGACGATCGCAAGACCCACCCTCTATGGACGGTTTTCAAGAGGTCGGCGACATCATCTACCAGCGACGCTACGACAACAGGCCAACTGAGTATTTGGTACACTTTGCATACTGCAGTCACAAAGTTCACCGTTGGTTAACGCGTGCGGTACTCCAAGCCACAGCTCCGTATGTTCTCGCACGCTACGAACGGAAGATGCAAGGCAAGCCGGTATCTTCGGCTCCACGTCGCACCCGCATCCACGGTCCACCTTCAGATCGTCAGCTTCGCCCTCGCCTCGCCTTGACTTCATAAAGGGCCGAGGTGTTACATGCTGCGCCTGCAACAGGCTGCACGGGCCATTTTTCAGGCCCGTGTTGTTTTCAGGCCAAAAGCCTGAAAACAAGGGCCTACAGGCCGCATGTCGTTTCAGCCTGAAAGCATGAAAACAAGGGCCTACAGGCCCTGTGTCGTTTTAGGCTAAATCAGGGCCTTTCCGGCCCTGAGTGTTTTCAGCCTGAAACTGAGGGCCATTTCTGGGCCCTCATAAGACCGACCTGCCCTGAAACTCAGGCACCAGACCAGGGTTTTAGTTCAGGCCATTTCTGGCCTATTTTCAAGACAACCTTTGTTTGAGCTTCAACCCCAGGGTCTGGCACGTTGAGGCATTGGCAAGAGCAACCTCCTGGACGGGCCAGCACTATATAGGACTGCCCCGCCCTGAAGGTCGGCAGGTAGTTCCTAGGTACTTCCCAGGCACTTCACATGCAGTTCAGGAGGCAGGGGGTAGTCTTCAGGATTCGACAGCAGCACTCTGGAGGAGCAGCGTTAGCAGTAGTCTTCAGCGCTGGGCGCTAGTAGCGTTAGCTGTAGTCTTCAGTGCTGGGCACTAGTAGCGTTAGCTGTAGTCTTCAGCGCTGCGCGCCATAGCAGCTAGAGTAGTACTAGAGAGAGAGAGAGATTGGGCGGAGGCCAGAGGGACTTACCTGCCCTTGCTCCAACTTCGTCTTCGAGGTACCTGCAGCACAACATCATCTTCACAGGTTAGTACCTGGCATATGAGAGAGAGGGTTCTTCTTCTTCCTCTTCTCAGTCCACCATCTCCTTCTCACCCTCTCGCTATCTGACTTCACTGCATCAGCAGACTACGAGAGAGAGAGAGAGGGAGAGAGCTTGGTGACATTTGGATCCAGACTCGACGTTTGGACTTCAGACATTTTGAAGAGGGATTGTTTGGGACTTGTAACTAGACTTGGTGTTGACGACTTTCCCATCTTCCCCTTCCTCTTCTTCGTCTGATCCCCTCCTCTTCGTCTGTGTATGTCTGGACCTGGCGCCTCCTTCCGGTGTATAGCACTAGACCCCATCACACCTTGTGATGAGCATGATGTATGTTTGGTCTGCGTTGAAACATTGAGTGGGCTAGTCCTTAGTATGTCAGGTCTGGACTTGTATCTAAAGTCTTCCCTGCGCTATAAAGCACCATTTTGTATGTATCGGAATGCACATTGCTTGTTGTTGAGATTCCACTTGCACTGCATTGTCCATTCAGTCCTTTTTATCACATTGCGGATCCTCGGTTATTATGTACATTGCCCAACTGGGTATGTAACACTCTCTCTCTCTCTCTCTCTCTCTCTCTCTCTCTCTCTCTCTCTCTCTCTCTCTCTCTCTCTCTCTCTCTCTCTCTCTCTCTCTCTC